GATACAAGGTTACAGTAATGCCGCAGCATAGATTTGACCGACTCCTTCTGCCCACTCCTGGACATCCCCCCCTTCCCTAGACCCTCCTTATCCTTTGCCCGGGGCCCTTAATTCCCCCCTTTATACGATCCTCAATAAAAGCAATATCCAAGCTGAAGGAAAGTGGTTAAAGATTGCATCTAAAAAGTAATTGTAGAAGGTGGGGGTAATACCACTATATATAATCTATGAAACAAACTTGAAAAAAATCATTTTTAGACATACAATATGAGAATTAAAAGAACATGGTCGAATTTTAAAAAACGTTTGTTCCGAAAATAAAAGTTTTGTACACAATGCATCTTTAATGATTTCCCACTTTTAGTCCTATTTTTCTGTAGATACATGGTAATCTAAAATTCGATATTGAATTTTTTTGATTGATTCAATTTTGAATTTTATACATTACATTTGGACCTCTACAACAATTGAATAGGAAGACGACATATAAGCAATCTTATATGTTTATTTGATGTTGTAATAACAGTAAGTTGAATATCAAATTATAAAGTGAAACAGGTCTATGAACACTGCACAGTTCCTGTGTTTCACTTTCATTGAACTATCTGAAATCATAACTGGAGTCTAACAGTCGTCCTTAAATTCACGTATTATGGGCGTCACTGTATACAATACATATGTCAGCCTTCAGCTAACAACATTTTTAAAATTTGTAGTCAGGCGCGCAACTAGGGGGGGGGCAGGCCCCCCCTAGCCTGATTAAGGGGAGGGCATGCCCCTCCCTTAAGAGGTCTTGCCCCCCCCTGTAGGGGGGGGGGCAAGAAGTGACGAGGTCCACCCTGTTTTGCAATTTAGCGATTCATGAGCAAATTTAAGAGCTCTTATCGTAAAATAAAAAAAAAAGATAATTGAACATTAGTTTATTGAGCTTAAAGTTCCCCCTAGCCCCCCCCCCCTAACTAAATGTCTAGTTGCGCGCCTGTTTGTAGTAGATCAAAAATTATATTAAAAGTTTGTATTCAATCTAAAAATATCTTTAAAAATTCTATTCTGGAACCATTTCAATAATATTAAAAAGATTCCCTGAAATACTAAATATATAAAGGTATGGAAGCGTGTCTCGAGTAAAAAAGGAACTTTAACAGTTTTTACTGTTTTAATTAAATGCATTTACTCAGAAATTAAGTTCTAACTTTTTAAACAGCGAAACACTTTCCCCACATAGTTAAAAGATACAATTTGTATCATCAACAAAAAATGCGCAAATATCAATATCTCGCGAAATGTGCATGCAAATATTTTAAAGATTAAAATTTATGTTGTCCTTTATTCATAAAACCAGAGGTTGCCAAAATCTCCTTAAGATTGTTATTTTTAAATCTTTAAGATAAACATTTAAAAAGTTCCAAACTGTAAGAAGGAACCCATGATTTTAAAATCCGTTTTCTTCTCACAATAAAATTTAAGTTTTTTGTTTGATATTCTTTGCTTTTTTCCCAGATAAACGCTTTTTTCATCTATATTTCTCAAGAAATACAAAATATGAATAAATTGTAACTTTCTAATACTTATTTTTCCGAATTTACATCTGCAGTATACCCTGTAAACCTTAAATGATAAACTTTTAATTTAAAAGATATTAGCCCGAGCAAGGTTGTACAATAAGTTCAGATGGTCTGGATGTGCTCTAATGTAGATAAAGACGACCTTTATAGCAATGGAAACTCTAAATATTAATATGAAGTCACTGCTTATTCTAAAGAATAGTACATTTTCGCTGAGGTTTAGCCTAACCCCCTAGATACCCATGGGCTCCCTCATAATGAAATCAGCCAATTTGGTCTAGCCATTTAGCCATTTAAGACGAACATAATAAATATGTATAAATTATCATGAGGTCGAATTTGAAGAATTTAAACCGGGTAGCTGATCCGCAAATAACCGATTCCAGTTGAGCACCGACTCAAATGTCGAAATACTGAATACAAAATACAATTTCAAGAAGAACCAACCATGTTTGAACCGCGTCTCATATTTGAGCCGTCGCTCAAATTATTTAAATTCGGCCTCGAGATTCAAAGAAAATAATAAATTTTTTAACCTTGAGATTAAAATTGTGCTGTGTGCGTTACCTCTAAACTTTCAAACTAAAATTTCAAATTAAGCGGATAAGAACTTAATTTTGAAAAATAGTTTATGTTGAATTAAATAAGAAATTGAATTGACTGTGAGGCAGTAAAAGTAAAATCCCAGATCAATGAAGGGTTTGTTCAAATTGACCCCCACCCACTCCCGTATCTGTAGACGTAATTTTAAGTGACAATTGAAAAACTAGGGTATTCACTATTTTACATATTTCTCAAAAAACCGAATGTTCTATATCCAATCCGTTTTCTTGATTTCCCCATCTAGTATAAAATTTATTTAATAATCAAAAATGGAGATATTTTTTTTTGATTTTACCATCGAATAACTTTGGGAACTTAAGTAGCAAAATTGGAGCAACTATATGTTCGGAGCCAAAACATTACTGAAGTGTATAACTCTTTACATTTCATCATTTTTTACTAAACATTAATATTTGAAGCTAGCATGGGAAACATCATTTTATATTACATCAACATATTTTATTATGACACATGCAATGTCCGATTCACAACTGTACCTTTAAAAGCCATATCTAATCCAGTAGGAATAAGATATCGGTTTTTTGTATACATGGTTTCTTCACAAAAGTTACTTGAGCATGTTTTATGCAGGAAAGCATATGAATTACCAGAATTAAATACGTTTGAACCTAGAAAAACGACAAAATCTTCCACCTTATTGATCAGACAAAGGTTTCAAGGGTACCATTTTAAATCAAGCATGTTTTTTTTTATCTTTTTCCTATTGTTATATATGATGAGACAAAACTCTTTAAATTATTCAGTCCACTGAGAGTTCCATGTATTCAATATTCTATGTTGGAAAATGTTAAAACTGAAATAGAATATAGAAAGTATATGTGGGGACCAGGGGGGAAGGTTTGTTTGTAGATGACAGATATAAAAGCAGGAAAATAATATCTTCTAGAGAGAGAGACAGGTTTTGATTTTATATCAGAAAAGAATATGGCCAATATTTCACGACAATTCGAAATTTTAAAAATCTACCAAAAATAAAGGTACGAACATTGGGGAAAAAAGTCTGCTAAACATAAACCACAGATTCCTGTTTCCGATAAACGTTCCTCTTTTTGATTACAACCTTAGGGAACAGAACCAATTTACAGTAGTTCAAGCCAGGACGGAGAGGTTAAGAAGATCATGTATGATGTATACCATACATCCATAGATGAACATAAATGTGTTTTTACATGACAAATTTTAAATCTATATATCTTATTCTTTTATTCAGAATATTAATTCCGGGATTTTTATCATAATCAACCCTATTTATTTACTTATTTACAAACGGTGTCAAGGTAAGAAACCTGTGGCCGAATTTAAAGAATTTGAGCGGCGGTCAAAATCTAAGCCGCGGTTTAAATATGGTTGGTTCCACTTAAAATTGTATCAAATGTTTCAAGATTTAAGCCGGCGCTAAATTAAAACCGGGTTTTGGCGGATATAAACCGCGACTTAAATTCTTTAAATTCCATGTCTGATAGTTTGTATAAAGGTGATTTGAAAAATCATTAAGGCCTATATCTTCTAAAATTTTTCAAAGAATAAAATTGAAAACATTTAGAACATGTATTTTTGAATTTTTTAAATTTCTCAGATTTTTCCGAAGCCTATTTTTGTGGGTTTTCCAATCAAAATTAGAGAAAAATCAGTGAAGGGGTTCCTGAGTTTTGATCGGTCATCCAAACAAACAGACAAAAAGAAAGAGATCACTAAATCTTCTATATAATAATAAAACAAGACTTTCGTATTTATAAATACTGCTTATAGCCGGCCAAACAGCTGGACCAATTGGGCTGAAATTTTTTGTGGACACTCATGGATGGCCGGGAGTATTGTAGGCTAAAAAAATCGATTTAAAAAAATTCTTTATAAAATTTCGTTTTTTTAAATTTTTCTTTTTTTCACGGGCAACGCCCTTCATCTAGTTATATATATAGATAGAAACATTATTTAGACAGTACTAATTCACTTGTAATTTGTTAAATATTTGATCTCAGCACCATCTATGTATCTTCTTAGAATCTAAATGTTAAAGGGACTGTAAGTGGAATTTCAAGTGACCCTTTATGCAAAGATGGCAATGTCCGATTACGATTTTTAACAGAATTGAATCAATGATATTTTCAAGCATTTACACAGTTTGGTAACAAAACAAGCTTTTCGCATACAGTAAAATTTAAATAATGAAAGAATAAAAATGTAAATAATACGTTCTGTATTGATATTTCAAAATATAACGACTTAAAACATTACACAATTCTAATAATAATATTATATTGCTATTACAATTAAATTGAACAGAAAAATGCGGGAAAATTTTTATTGACAATGGAGGAAGATTTACTTAAAATTCTCTTTACTCTCCGTATTTAAAAGTATTATGTGGAAACAAATTTTAGAAAAGATAAAAATATTTTCATTGATACATGCTATTCTGTAAATTATAATAGTGCGTTCAAATCTGAATTGTGGAATATTCTCAAATTATGGATTGTTTCAAGGTTTAAGGTTCGATTGCGTGTTATATGTGAAAATGGAAAACCTTGAATTATTCCGAAAATTGTATGGGTTTTAATTGAAAATGAACGATCATTCACAGTTTTAATTTAAAAAAAAAATAAGTAAATAGTGTTTTTTGTAGTGCTTAATAGTATGTTGGAAATAGTTTTTTAATTGATATTTTCTCTCGTTACAGTAAGGGTTACTAGAACGTTGATCATGAGAGTTGTGCCCAAACTTGACACTCAGTGTGAGGTTTGGAACATACGGTTTGGAACTTTCTTCCCCTGATTTGACAGAACTGTAATTTTTTTATTTTTTAGATTAAAAATGCGATATATTGATGGAATCATGTTTTCTTCAATGCTAATAACATGTTCCACAAATTCAGAAAAAGAGCTTCAACTTCCATACAGGGTAAACTCTAAGGCTAGTAAGTATATATTTGTTTACGATTTAGTTGTTACTTTTTGAGCCACATTTTTGAGAATAAACTATAGCGTATTTTATTATTGTTTTATTTCTTTTAGCGTTTTTTCTTAATGGAGTATTCTGTATTCAGGGATAAACTGGTTTGGTCCAAAGTACAAAACTAGATTTCGAAAATATAGAAATGTAAATTTTTATAACTATGTATTAAAAGTTTGGTTTGTTTGTTTTGTCTATCTGTCTAATTGTTTGTACCCAAAAAGCGTCAAAATGACTAAACGATTTAAAAATACAAATTAATTACACGAACACATGGGGGACCAAGGAAATTTCATGGCTGGTCAGAATTTGAGAATGTTGTTTCAGAAAAATTCTTATTAGAATTTTTTAGAAATGCTCCAAAATGAATTGAGTCTTTGCCACAAACTCTGATTTTATAATCCACATATATTTGCAACCAAATGATTTAAGTTGGAAATATCATAGGTTTACACCATCAGGTTTTGAAGATAAAGGGGTTAGAACATTTGATTTTGTTGCAGACTCAATTCTTTAGGTTTATTGAACGTTTCAAAAAATTCTTTAAAAATCATTTCTGACACCCCTAGGCCGAAACCATACGGCAGTCCTAAAGTATAATACAGGGAAATATCCCAGGGAAAGATTTGACGCCATCTTTTATTTAAAAAAAATTATATCTTATAAAGTAGTATAGTAGTATAGTAGTAATTTTATACATTTTATACATTTTATACATTTTATACATTTTATACATTTTATACATTTTATATATTTTTACATTTTATACATTTTATGCTTTAAACTGAATTGAATCTCAATTTGACAATAACATTAAATACAAGTATTTTAATTCATTGGTTTCCAATGATTTACAAGAAAATGGCAAATCATTGAAAATGTATGGAACAGTCGATGTAATTTCAACTTTCAAGTCACCTTATTTTTAGTTGTTTGGTGTTTCTCGACACGTATTTTCTTGCTATTTTTATTGATTGGTGATTCTGAAGTATTTTAATTGTTTTGTGTTTCTGACGTATTTTCAATTGTTTAGGGTTTCTGACATTTGTTTATTCGTTTGGTGGTGTTTTTTCTTCTGTTGAATATTATGTTATTTTGTTTGGACTAATTGGGGAACCGTTGTGAATCCTTAATGGCAAAAAACTTCTTAAATCATCTCTTTAATAAATTGAACTATTATCTAACAATTAACTTATTGACCTAAACTTTTTTAAAACTGTCTAAAGGTTCTTCTAAGTGTTCTTAATTTATTTAATTAAGAGATATTACATTAATTAAACTAACTATATTCATTAATTAGGTTGCAATTGGAGTTCAGTCCGTTTAAGGAATATTAAAGGCTACCGTATTACTTAAGATTAATAGGATTTAGCTTTACTGGGATTATTTAGGATTACTGGGCTTATTTAAGATTACTAGAATTATTTAGGATTTCTAGGATTATTAAGGATTTCTAGGATTATTTAGTATTTCTAGGATTATTTAGAATTAATGGGATTATTTAGGATTACTGGGATTATTTAGGATTTCTAGGATTATTTAGGATTTCTAGGATTATTTAGAATTACTGGGATTATTCAGGATTACTGGAATTATTTCAGATTACTGGAATTATTTAAGATTACTGGGATTATTTATGATCTCTAGGATTATTTAGGATTACTGGGATTATTTAGGATTACTGGGATTATTTAGGATTATTGGGATGATTCAGGATTGCAGGAATTATTTCAGATTACTGGGATTATTTATAATCTTAAGGATTATTTAGGATTACTGGGATCATTTAGGATTACTGGGATCATTTAGGATTACCGGGATTATTTCAGATTACTGGGATTATTTAGTATTTCTAGGATTATTTAGAATTAATGGGATTATTTAGTATTACTGGGATTATTTAGGATTTCTAGGATTATTTAGGATTTCTAAGATTATTTAGAATTACTGGGATTATTCAGGATTACTGGAATTATTTCAGATTACTGGAATTATTTCAGATTACTGGGATTATTTATGATCTCTAGGATTATTCAGGATTACTGGGATTATTTAGGATTAGCTGAATAGATTAAACTTGGTTCAGTGAGAAGGTGCAAATGACTAAATATATATTTATTTTACAATATTTATAATCAATTTATGCAGAACATATTTTTGCAACCTGCCAATTCCAACTTAGATTTTTTGATCTAACAGAATTAATAATTTGAAATGTTTAAGGTCAACAACATTAAAAAGTAATAGGGATTAGAAAATCAGAGTTAAAGATTTAATTTTTTTTTACTTATTTAGTTTCTTAGAAAATGGACAGAAATAATAGTTTCTTGAAGGATTTGTTTTCCACATTGCTTATAAGAAGATGTTTAGGTTTGTTTCTTAACTAGGAAATTAAGATAAGATCAACTCATTCTACACCATTCTAAACCATTCCTAAACCATTCCTAAAAGAATCTAAACCATTCCTAAACCATTCCTAAACCATTCTAAACCATTCCTAAACCATTCCTAAACCATTCCTACACCATTTCTAAACCATTCCTGAACCATTTCTGAACCATTCCTAAGCCATTCCTGAACCATTCCTAAACCATTCTTAAACCATTCCTGAACCATTCCTAAACCATTTCTGAACCATTTCTAAAACATTCCGAAACCACTTCTAAACCATTCCTAAACCATCTAAACCATTCCTAAACCATTCCTAAGCCATTCCTAAACCATTCCTAAACCATCCCTAAACCCTTTCTAAACTATTTCCAAACCATTCCTAAACCATCCAAACTACTTCTGAACCATTTCTAAACCATTCCTAAACCATTCCTAAACTATTCCTGAACCATTCCTAAACCATTCTAAACCATTCCTAAACCATTCCTGGACCATTCCTAAACCATTCCTAAACCATTCCTGAACCATTTCTGAACCATTCCTAAGCCATTCCTGAACCATTCCTAAACCATTCTTAAACCATTCCTGGACCATTCCTAAACCATTTCTGAACCATTTCTAAAACATTCCGAAACCACTTCTAAACCATTCCTAAACCATTCCTAAACCATTCCTGAACCATTCCTAATCCATTCCTGAACCATTCCTAAACCATTTCTAAACCATTCCTCAACCATTTCTGAACCATTTCTAAACCATTCCTAAACCATTCCAAAACCATTCCTAAACCATTCCTAAACCATTCCTAAACCATTCCTAAACCATTCCTAAGCCATTTCTAAACCATTCCTAAACCATTCCTAAACCATCCCTAAACCATTTCTAAACTATTTCCAAACCATTCCTAAACCATCCAAACTACTTCTGAACCATTTCTAAACCATTCCTAAACCATTCCTAAACTATTCCTAAACCATTCCTAAACCATTTCTAAACCATTCCTGAACAATTCCTGAACCATTCCTAAACCATTCCTAAACCATTCCTAAACCATTCCTAAACCATTCCTAAACCGTTCCTAAACCATTTCTAAACCATTCCTAAACCATTCCNTTCTAAACTCCTCCTCCTCCTCCTCCTCCCCTTTTTTCAATATTTTAAAAAGATTTAAATTCTACGGAATGAATAAAACGTTTGAATAAAACATATGTTTTTCATGTTTATTTCTCACCACACAGATCCATTTAATTGTGCAATGGAATAATTTAAAATGTGACACTTTTGTAGATTGTGGAATTATATTATTAATTCAACTTTCTAAAATTATTTTTTTTACTGATAATTGGTAATAATATTAAGTACATAATTGGTATTTGGCATCATGCCAAATTTTGTTGCAACGTAAAATACAATTTTTTTACTATCCTTTTATTTTCATTTAATCATTATAATTGGTTATTCAAAAAGTTTAATTCAATGATATTTGTATTTGTATTTTCAAATGTAATTTCTTTACAACTAAGTAAACAGGAATTTAGTCCTTGCCACAAACTCTGATTTACATATCCCTAAATCATTGATTTCTCAAACTATGAATTCTGTTTCATCAAAAAGTCTAAGTTTGAAATAGCAAATGTTTACACCATCAAATTGCAACAATATAAGGATTATCAAATTTGAGATTGTACATACACTATTGTACTGCAAGGACCTGAATTATTGTATTGTAAATAAGCTATTGTACTGCAGGGACCTGTACTATTGTGTTGTACGTATAGTATTGTACTGTAGAACCTGTACTATTGTATTGTACATAAACTATTGTACTGTACATATACTATTGCACTGCAGTGAACTTTACTATTGTATTGTAAATAAACTATTGTACTGCATGGAACTGTACTATTGTATTGTAAATCAACTATTGTACTGCAGGGACCTGTACCTGTGTACAGTACGGACCAGAAGAACGGGTCAGTTATACGAGCTCAGCTTGGATTTGATGTGAGTATTAAAAAAATATTTCATGAAATTTATCGAAAAATCATGATTTTTTAACATATTATGCGTTATTTATATTAAAAGAACTGTCATTGTAATTTCAAGCAACCCTCTATTCACAACGACAGCCTTTATCTGATCATTAATGTCAAAGATATCGTCTTTTTTCCAGCTTGAAAAGTTTATCATTCTGAAATTTACCTCCATTTTTCTTTAGCAAAAATGCACTAGCCATTTTATAGAAAAGTCACGAGAGAGTGTCGCTTAAAATAATTCGTCTTTAGTCCCTTCTAATGCCCCGTGTTTTACTCAAATAATTCTAAGGATTTTCCTTATTATCAAACTGGATATGATGCCAACTCGTTAGCCGCACAATATCAATTATATTCAAATGGAGCCCTTGTCACAAACTCTGATTTTTACAACCTAGATGTATCTTTGTCGTTGAACTTTAATATTATAAACTATAAACTCTGTTAGGAGAATTCGATGATTACGTAATAACTGAAATGATAAATATGTTATGTAATGAGTAATGATCAATGTCGTCTATTTGTGCATAATTTTGCATATTTTTTCTCTTTTCTTTTGGAAACCTGTATTTTCAAAAATTTATTTAAACAAATTTAAACTACACCATTTATATATATATTTATATCATTGTGTGTGAATAAATATTTTTAATAAAAAATAAGCTAGGTTTGAAATGTATCAAAGGTATAAAACATCAGGTTGGAAAGACATTTAAGTTTGAGGCAAAGATTTTTTTCTCCAGGCATTGATAGATTGTAAAGTAACCTCTGTTGAGAAAAACCTAGTCTCTTGGTTTCTTGTTCGCACCAGCTTCTCTACACAATCTACTCCTCTTCTTCTAAACTCCTCCTCCTCCTCCTCCTCCTCCTCCTCCTCCCCACCCTCCAGGAACCACTTATCCCTTCTAACTGTTGGATTCCAAACCTATTCTTCTGATCCAAGGAAAAGATGAAATAAAGACAGAACTTCATATAAATTTCAAAAAGTTTTTTTTTTTAAACATTTCAGAAATTTTTTGACCATGTTGTATATTTTTGCATAGAATGATATGGAAAATAATATTTTTATACATTAAAAAAATGTTAGTAACATTAAACTCATAAACCAAACAATTTTTAGTCTTGGTTTTTATATTGATCGGCTAAATACGTAATTTTTAGTGACCTATCTTTTCACAATCACACCGCGGCATTATTTGAACCGTAGTCTAAGAAATTATCAAATATGTATAGCTTTGGTATTCTATAATAAAAATAAATAATTTTTAACTGTAGGGTTTTCTTTAGAAGTTACTAGCAGATTTTATGCAGCAGAGACAATTTAGTTTTGTTCCTTAGATAGAATAATCAGACATTTACCTCTAAAGCCACTGTGTATTATGTTAACGCACAGTCCTTTCAACCAACAACTTTTTTTAATAGTTTAAATTTACACAAAGTATAGTATCGCAATTTATCTAAATAAACGTTGGAGAAGGTACAGCTAATCTCAAATGTGAGGATACATCGCAAGAGTGCATGAAATGTCGTCTTGAAAAAGGTTTATGACAGCTGTTTTGCTTCACCATTGTTCAGCATATGAAGATACGATTTATGAAAGTATATAGTTGTTGAGAGTAATAATATTATGAAAATTCTAAGCTTGAAATATGCAGGACATTAACTCGTTTTTTCCTCGCGATATTTGATCTTGAATAGATAGAGAATACGACATGGTAAAAACTCTTGCTTTGAATTCATATTGGCTGTATCAAAATGAATAAAATATTTCTTTTATTTTTCTAAATTTTTTTTTAACATGATGAGAAATTTTAAAGGCATGTGTGCCGGGTTAGCTTGCCAAACATTCTATATAAGAATGAAATGATGGTTGGCTCAAGAATCAAGATTAAACTTTTATTCGATTTAACTTGTCTAAGTTCTTTCAGATATAAAACTAACTGAATAATTAGATTAGGATTAGTTGTCTGCAGACAACAAAAGGGGGGGGGGGANTTTCAACTTCAAATAAAGTTTTTCAAGTTTTGTGGTCAAAAATTGTAATCGTTTCCATTTAGCCTTGTTCTAGAATTGTTATCGTGATTTTAAAAAATTCAACTTCTTTATTGAAACCATATCATTTTTTTGGTTTACACATTAAAAACTTCGGATCATATAAAGTACAGGCCGGACTGTTCGACAACTAGTGCAAGTTGTTTACAACAGTATGGTGCATCCAAACTATAAGTTTTATAGTTCTCTAGTTGTTGGTGTTATTTACCTCCCGTCAGGACATTTGAAGGAAAATGTACGCTTGATTCTGACGTGTGTATTTAGCTTAATCAACTACACTGATCATTACAGTAACAAAATGGTGAAGTGAAGACGACTTACCATATAATTTTGAGGAGCGCTGTATATTTATGAGAAGTCGTCTTCAATTTCCATATCATTTTGGGAAGCACTGAATATTTTGAAAAGTCGTCAATGCTTACCATTTTATTTTGGGGAGCAATATATATTTACTAGAAAATCAAGGCGCTTCGCGCCCTTCTTTCTAGCCTTAGAGGGCGCTTCGCGCCCATCTCCTAAATTAGTTGTGAACATGTTCTCTTTGTGTACATCGTAAAACAAAACAAAAATAATNTAATTAAGGTGAAGAAAAAGTTACAATTCTTTTTATAACACAAATAGACCATGAATAAAATCACCCCCCCCCCCATACAAAATTTTAGTTTATTTTCATATTTCTTTTCCACGTACTGCACCTAATAACAACAATGATCAGTGTAGTTGATTAAGCTAAATACACACGTCAGAATCCAAATGTCCTGACGGGATTTACCTATCTATTTATCTACATATTCATTATTTTATCTATATCTACAGATTTGAATTAGACTTCTTGCGCCCAAACAACTATAGGCTCAGGTAACCTCAAACATTACAAAACAAAAATTAATAAATTTACAAAATCCATATTTTTACAATGAAAAAAGTTTTAAATATATTGTCACCATTTTTTATTCTCTATAACTTAAAATTAAAATATTTTCTCTAAGGTAAAAACTTTTCTACAAAATAGCGATATTCTACAACACTTGATTCAGATATTCATTGTAACAAGTTGACAACTCTTAAATTTAAATTTTAGTTATTTCTTCCGGGTACGTTAACCACGGGGTGTTCAAGAAGATTCCATTTTGCCATGATCTTGCACATAAAACAAACAGCTGCTTGATTCCGGGATTTGACCTCTGTTTGATTTACAATAAAATATTTAAATGAATAATTCAAATTATCTAATTGTAGAGTTCGAGATGTAAGAGTAGAAGATGAAGGTTATTATCATTGTCAGCTTTCTACACATCCTCCACAGATAACATGGGCTAGACTACTCACACTCAAACCTATAGTCAGGTATCATGTTGTCAGTATGCTGTATCCTGTATCCTGTATCTGTACAATTAAATAAAGAATATGTTAACTGTTAATAATACTAGACAAGGAGAATAATATCGTATCTGATATCCACCATATCCAGAGTAATATAAAGAATATGTTTACTGAGCTGAAAAGTTTAGAATGGAATTTCGATCGCTTAATCTGAGTATCCAATGTACACACTTTCGATTTTATTCTTAATTCTCTCTTTTAGAACATCCCTACTGTATTAAAGTTACGTTTGATAACAAATACAGATACGATGCTATATCAATTGGACTAATATAAAACTAAACAATTACGTTAAATTGCAAAGTCAGGTGTTCACAAACCGGGGTTCAGTAACCGGGGTTCAGTATATTTGAACATTAGAGCATTGAAACAAAATAAAAATTCATTACATTCAAATAAATTCATTTGAAAATTTAATCCAAATGTACTTTAGTCCAAACTTACGTTGGTTCAATCGAACACTAGTCCAATTGACAGAAAAAGTACAGGCAAATCAAAATCCGGTTTTTCAAAATTAGAAAGCTATTCTCTCCCGTTTCTATATTTTAAATTTTAAATTTCCCGGCTTTGATACGCCACTCTGATTGGTTAAATTTTATTTACTTTAAAGGATACAAACACAAGAAAAGGTTAGTCTCGAGATTAAGAAAAAGAGAGGATCAAGGAGATCAAGCATTGATCTCGATATCTGAAGTTTTCAGCTCTGTTTAGGATACTGCAAATAAGGAGAATAAGACTGAATAAGATATCCATCATTTCCGGAGTAATATAAAGGACAGATTTACTGTTTAGGATACTGGATAAGGAGAATAAGTCTGAATAAGATATCCATCAATTCCGGAGTAATATAAAGGACAGATTTACTGTTTAGGATACTGGATAAGGAGAATAAAGCTGAATCAGATATCCATAATCATATCCGGAGTAATATAAATGACATGCTTACTGTTTAGGATACTGGATAAGGAGAATAAGACTGAATAAGATATCCATCATATCCGGAGTAATATAATGGACAGGTTTACTGTTTAGGATACTGGATAAGGAGAATAAGACTGAATAAGATATCCATCATATCCGGAGTAATATAATGGACAGGTTTACTGTTTAGGATACTGGATAAGGAGAATAAGACTGAATAAGATATCCATAATATCTGGAGTAATATAAATGACATGCTTACTGTTTAGGATACTGGATAAGGAAAATAAAGCTGAATCAGATATCCATAATCATATCCGGAGTAATATAAATGACATGCTTACTGTTTAGGATACTGGATAAGGAGAATAAGACTGAATAAGATATCCATCATTTCCGGAGTAATATTATGGACAGGTTTACTGTATAGGATACTGGATAAGGAGAATAAAGCTGAATCAATATCCATTATCATATCCGGAGTAATATAAATGACATGTTTACTGTTCAGGATACTGGATAAAGAGAATAAGACTGTATCCGATATCCATCATCATATTCGGAGTAAAATATCCCTACAGTGTAGGGTCAGTCAGGTAAAAATAAGATTTTAAATGAACCGAATTCCTTTTTTATACGCTAATTAGTTTTTTAATTGATTAGATGTGATCTTCAAGAAAATCCTTATATGATTTAACTTTAAGTGACACTTAATTTGTAGAGTGTTAGATGTTATGGTACTTTCCCAAAGGGATTTTCCCAAGGGCGACTTCCCAAGTGACAATTTCCCAAGCCACAGCTTACCAAGTCTGTCTTAGACGCAGCTTACGGTTTCTAGCTGCAGCGCTCGGCACCCTAGCCCATTCTAGCCGCAGCGCTCGGCCCAGAAAGTATCTTAACTAACCTAACCCGTGGCCGCAANACATTTGGAAAATTGCAACTTGTAAAACTGTCACTTGGGAAGTCCCCGTCATGAAAATTCCTTAGGGAAAATACCTATCACCGAGTGGGATATCCGATTTATAACCATACCAATTAAACCTTTGTCTATGATGAAAAAAATAAATATCCTTCATTGTCTAGATAAAAACAGATTATTTTCAGTTGTGGTTTTACTAATTAAGTGATAGAACAACAACGATATATTCGATCCTTGTTACTCAGATAAAAACACTTTAATGACGGGATTTATGCAAGCCAACATTAGCCGTCTTTAATGGCAATCCCTGATGACATTGTCTTTAGATAATACAATTTGCGGTGTTTCGTCCAAAAGTAGAAAGTATGAGAAAGAGAGAGAGACGTTTTTAGAGGGTTTATTTAGCTCAATTCATAGCTGAGAAGTCAAAGCTAAGGATATAGCACATTTATATATTCAGAAATACATTAACAATTGGACATTGGACATTCAAATCGCAGATCAAAGACTTGTTTTTTCCATATGCAAATTGGTTTTTAATTAGTTTAAAAAAGGAGAGTTTTTATTTCTGGTGATAATGAAGTTTGAAGGGTACAATTGAGAATCAAACATGCCACTCTTATTTTTTAAATGGAGGGACATTTTAAATTACGTCAGCAGACCCTTCAATAATCAATAAAATTTATTGACAAAAACTAAAATTATCTCTGATATCACAAAGAACTTTCTTTACAGAATCGGAAATATATGGTCAATAAAAATATATGACCTTGCAAGTTGTAAGTCCTAATGTTCTAAATGCCATATTTAAAATTATCTAAATCATTTATAAACTAGTCTCTAGAATCCAACAAAGGGTTGGGAAAACTATATAAGAATGGAATTAACTTTTACAAATTATTTTCTAAAGGAATCCAAGATAAAAGGAGAAATAGATTAGTTTCCTTCCTTAGCTGGTATTCTTGTGTTTACATGATTTACATCTTTTCTACTTTTCTTTTCTCTTTAAATCGGCTTGCGCTTCCTGCCACTTTTATAGAAATAATTTTTAGCTTCTTTTCTATTCTATTCTATTCTATTCTATTTTATTCTACTAGGCTTTTATGGCGCTTCGCGCCCTATCTTTTATTTCAATTGTAAACATGTTCTCTTTGCATAAATTGTAAAACAATTTAAAAAGGCGTTAGTGGATTTTCTGAAAACTGTCGTGGATTTTGTTGGAGGCTAATTTTTTAATTTTGATCATCCACAAACCCCTCCATGCGGTCATGTGAGGTCCCACACAAAATTTGGGCCCGATCGTGTCAGCCGTTTTGACGTTTACTGGATACAAACAAACAGACACCCAGACAAGCAAAGTGTATAAATATCTTCTATTCTATTCTATTCTTTTCTGTTCTATTGTATTCTATTCTATTCTGTTCTGTTCTCCTCTACTCTATTCTATACTATTCTATTCTATTCTATTTTCTATTCTTTTCTGTTATATTCTAAACTATTCTATTCTATTCTCTATTCTTGTCTTTTCTATTCTATACTCTTCTTCTATTCTCTATTCTTTGCGCCCCTTTTCTAGTAACAATTTAAGCTTTTTCAAGTATATTGTTGTTTTAAGTATATTGTATTTCAAATTATTTTTAACGACATTTTCAAGGTAACAATTTTTCTATTCTATTCTGTTTTATTCTGAAATTATAAATGATTAGTGATTTGAAATCATCTCTAATGTGTAAAAGGATGAAAAAACAAGGAAGAAAATGACCAGAAATGCTTCCAGTAAATGAATCCATTATATTAAAGTTTGGTTCAATATGTTAACCTGGAAACTCATAAATTCCATAAACTTAAAAGGGGAGGGGATTCATCAGGCTCCTCCGAGGGGGGAGGCATTTTCTCAAGAAATTTTCCCCTCCTCTTTTTTCCTTTAAAGAGAAAGATATAGAGTGGAAAACATTTTTAAGAATAGCTTTGGAATGTAGGTCTACATTGGTGGAGAAAGGAAAAATAGAAGGGAAAGAAAGAGGAGAAAAACAAAATAACGAAGCGAAAGGGATAAAAACAAAAGGAACTAAGGGAGTAAGAAAAAGAAAGAAAGGAAAAATGGAAAATAAAAATATAGGAGGGGAAATTGGAGGGGAAAGGAGAAAGAAAACAGGAGGGGGAGAATTGAGGGANATATGACAGTAGGCTCTAACCATTTTATTGCAGTGTTTACTGTGTCTTTAATATATAGAAATAAATTTAAAGAATATTCTAATCCACCATTAAGATTTATTTGGACTATTTTTGTACTCTTTATAGAGTTAGTTCCTGTTTTTGTTTTTGTTTCTCGTTTATCACTTCGTTTTTCATTTGTTTCTCATTTCTCTTTCCTTATATTATGATTAATTTATTTGTGTTTAGAACCTGTACATTTGTGTATGATATCTAAGTGCTTGTGTTTAAAACTTATATATTTGTGTATGATATATGAATGTTTGTGTTTAGAACCTATATATTTGTGTATGATATATGAATGTTTGTGTTTAAAACTTATATATTTGTGTATATCTGAGTGTTTGTGTTTAGAACCTATATATTTGTGTATGATATCTGAGTGTTTGTGTTTAGAACCTATATATTTGTGTATGGTATCTGAGTGTTTGTGTTTAGAACCTATACATTTGTGTATGATATCGGAGAACTCATAAAACATTTTATTGTTACTCTGTACTATTGTGAGAAGACCCATTAAAGGGTTATGATTGCAAAGGTTCCATTATCCAACAATAGGTTTTTTTTATAAATTAAAAAGACCGAGACGTAATTTAAGGAACACTTCATTTAAACAATGGCATTTACGATTCACAACAGTGTCCTTTAAATGATTGCTGAATAAGGATGACGGGGATATCCTTATATTTTGTCTGAAAATCGATTATTATCAATCATGGCTTCTCTGTCAGGTCGATATGTGGATTTATACTGCAGAGACAATAATGACGGAAAGTGTCAGATTTGAATTTTTAAGATAAGCAATGACAATATTTTTCTCATTGTTACTTAAATAGAGTTTTGAAAGGTACCATTGTGAATCGGATTCTAGAAAAATCGTCTATAGTCTCTTTAAGAATCACATCTTAAATACGGATCAGGTGTACTGCATCTATATTCATAAATAGATAGATACAATGAAAGAGAAAAGTTTTTTGCATAAAATATATTTACACAATGAAATAAATGAAATATACTGCTTTTCCAATAACAACTTTGATTGTAAAATAGAAAAAAAAGTTTGTCATACAGTTTGAATTACCTATTCGAAAAGTGTGCTTTACGGGGACATCTTCTAGATAATAGTGTAAAATCTGGGACACCCTGTAAATACATTATATATATTTTAAGACTGAAACTATTAAAATTCTTTTTATTTAGGTTAAGTATTTTTAATCATTATTATGAGAATTCCGGAGACAATATGAAAACCCCCCTGTTATC